GCATGTGCACACCACACACACACACACACACACACACACACACACACACACACACACACACACACACAGAGGAGGATGCTCTCTCCAGAGGGCAAAACATTTGGGTCAGGTTCTTCCAGTACAGAGATGAAGGGAATCAATTCTTTAGGGTTCTCACAACCAGGTGTGATGGGGGTCACTCCTCCTAATGATGTGAGCCCTAGGGATGCCAATTTATTCCCACAGATCCCACAAAGCAGAATCATCTTAGCGTAGCAGTGTGCAATATGGCATCAGAACATGGCCTGCAATGGTTAACTACTCCTGCACTTTGTATGTGAGAAAAGCTGAGACTCTAGCCAGAGTCCATCTCACCACAGCCAGTCCCTTGGGGCAAGGTGCTGTCTGATTTGTTTTTGGGGTTTGTTGTTGTGTTTTGTTTTTTGAACAGTGAGATGTTTTCCCTGGGGTCAGGAAGATGGTGGAGGTCACAGGGCAAAGAACAGACAAGAATGAGCCAGGCAGGCAAGACAAAGACAAGGAGGAATTCTTTTCCTTGGTCGGAAGTGCCATGTTTGCCTTGGCAGGGCTTTGTGGCGTTCTTTATTCTTTCGATTGCAATCAGAATACAAATCAATTCACCTATTTTCTCCCCTAGAAGTGTGCTGATGGGAATGAAGACAAATTAGAAAATGGTGTGTTTTTGTGACCCGTGCTTTTCAGACTATTTATGGTGAAGGAATATGTTTTATTTTTTAAGGTTGGTTTCAGATGATACTGTTATAAGTGGCAATCAAAATGATTAGAAAAATGCAATGTTCAAAGCCAACTTTCAGGACCCCAAACTTCATGACTTAGGCACAGGAGCCATGAAACTATGAAGATGTGCTGTAGAGGTCAGGTTTAGCCTCATGTTGGCTGGTCATGAGCGGGCAAGTTTTGACAATTACCATTTGCTCTTGGCATACCTTGCGGGTGACTTTGCTCTGCCCTCTTTCTCTCCTCTGTTTGTACCTTTGTTTGGTCTCTCTTAACTGCACCTTCTTATTGTGTGCATATTCCATGTTCCTCTGTATGTGTGGGTGCCTGCTGTGTGTGTGCGCGCACGCGTGTGTGTGTGTGTGTGTGTGTGTGTGTGTGTGTGTGTGTGTGTGTAGAAGGCAGAATTTAACTGTATGTTCATTACTCGATATTGGACTTCTTTTTTTTTTTTTTTTTTTTTTTGAGATAGGGTCTCACTATTCTGGGACTTGATAAGTAGGCTAAGCTGGCTTGCCAGGGAGCCCCAGGGTTCCTCCTGTCTCTGCTTCTCCAGCACCAGAATTACAAGTCAGTTCCTCTGGACTTGGCTTTTAATTCTATGCATTCTAGGAACTGAACTCACATCCTCCATCTTGTGTATCTGACACTTGACCCAACAAGCCGTCTCTTTAGTTCCTTAAAGGCCCTGCCTAATGTCAAGGATGGGGGTCTGCACAAGGCCATTTCAGATAGCACTTGATTGTGTTTGCGATTTTAGGAGAAACAGAACAGAATTTCCCTCATGCTAAGAGGAGATAGCCAGCTTAAAGCTAGATGATAATACACCTCTGAGAATACCATTTAGACTAAACATCAGGGGCATATGGTGGCTTAGGAATCTTTAGGGAAAATGAACTTGGGGCCATACCTTGTTTAGCCAGTTTGAAGTATAAAAGTAATTGAAGCCGGGCGGTGGTGGCGCACGTCTTTAATCCCAGCACTCGGGAGGCAGAGGCAGGCGGATCTTTGTGAGTTCGAGGCCAGCCTGGGCTACCAAGTGAGTTCCAGGAAAGGCGCAAAGCTACACAGAGAAACCCTGTCTCGAAAAACCAAAAAAAAAAAAAAGTAATTGAAAATACTAACCCTTGCTACTTGTCCTTAAACATGCATTCTATGAAATCTGTATCCCTTGCATGGCCTGTCCCCATGGTGGTGGGTCAGCTAGGAGTACAGCTTCCAGACTGAGAAAACAAAACACAGAATCTCAACTGAGCAATGAGTCATCTGTATAAATATGTCCAAATAGTTCACAGGACATATCACTGGCATATTGAGGATATACTTATGCTAAAAAATATGTGATATATTTACTGATTTACCAGAGAGCCTGTACTTTATCTGGTAATTTCACCTAGTACTCTTTTAGTCCAAATTCTGTCAATCTGGCCTTTCCCCCCTTGGGTTAAAAATCAACCCAACCAAATTAAATCTAGCTGTATCGACCAAACCTGTTTAACTGTTGGCAACCGGAAGCTGAAAACTCAATAAAAAAAGCCAACATTTTTTTTTTTTTGAGAAAACTATGTTTCCCACCTGGCAAAGCATCTAGTCATCTTTGCCTTTTCCTCCTCCTCCTCCTCTTCCTCCTTCTCTCCCTCTTCCTCCTACTCCTCTGCTTCATCCTTTCCTCATATTTCTCATCCTCCACTCTGCTAATTCCTTTACTTAATAAACATGTGTGTTAAATCTCATGAACTATTCTGCTTGGTAATATAAAGTGAATGAGGCAGCTGAATTTCCTGTCTGTGGAGCTTAGAGATTAAAGGGGTAGATGCCTCAATAAGAACAATAGAAAAAGATGTGCTGGAGCACGGTCCATAAAAGGTACTATATTACCCCAGTATAGTCTGGAATATTCCTTGGTAACAACTATCAGTCTTCAATAGTATACAATAGTATACCATGACTGAGATATTATTCTCTGCATTTGTTTATTTTTTGTGGGGGGATATCATGATGCATGTGTAGAAGTTATAGCTTTTAGGATGTGGTTCTCTCTTTCTACCATGTGGCTCTGGGGATTGAACCCAGGTCATCAGGTTTGGCAGCAAGCACCTTTACCAGCTGAAACATCTCACCTGCTTGGCTGTTTGATTTTTGTCTGTGACCAGTCAGTGGTTATTCCAGGCAGCTTTCCAAAGTTGCTGTCCTCAGCCTTCCGGGATGTGTCCTGTTATCACTGGGGTAAATGCTTCCACCAGGAAACAAACAGCAGACACTGGCAAATGGAAGCTTGGGGACAAGTCACTGGGCTCCCTGTGGAACCACCCATTGCTGGTCAGTGGACAGGGCTGAGATCAATGGTGCAGGGAAGTTCAAGTCTTGGTAACTGTAGCAGCAAGGAGAACCGGGTGTGCCTACCCCAGGCATTAAGTGTGATGATAAAATATGTAGAGAGGCTAGAAGAAAAGGCATTGCACAAGGATCGCAGAAGTGATGTACACATGAGCTTTTGGGGATACTCTTAACATAAAACTGTGATAAAGTATACATTGCAGGAAAAAATTTGAGTAGATATGAGAAGTAGTGGATAATGTTTTTCAACTTGGTTCTCAGATATGAAAATGAAAAATAAAAGTCATTCATGAATGTCTGACGTTTGGCAGATATATGGAGTTATAAAGTTTATCTGAGGACCAGGTGGATAATATTTTGGTCAGTGTCCTGGATTATTTAGTAAGAACTTAGTTGCAATTAATAATGCTCATTGGTGGGGAGATGGCTCTACAGTTAAGAGCACTGGTTACTCTTGCAGAGTACTTTCAGTTCCCACCACCCACATGTTGGCTCACAACCACCTGTACATAACTCAAGTTCCAGGGGATCTGCCACCCTCTGCTGGCCTCTTTAAGCACTGCACACATATGATGTCCATATTTCCTTCCAACACACACACACACACACACACACACAAAGAGAGAGAGAGAGAGAGAGAGAGAGAGAGAGAAAGAGAGAGACAAACAGACAGACAGACAGAGACAGAGAGACAGAAAGAGAGAGAGCCATAAAATAAAAACAAATCTTTATGAATAAAAGAATAACTCAACATCATGACTGTCCTTCTTGATGATAGATTAATGCTTTCCTTTACCTGGATTTTATGTTTTTTTCTCTATTTGCTGTTCCTGTGTTTTCCTTTGGCCAAGTCTGTGTATTTGTTGCCTTTCTTATTGCTTTGACAAAAGCAACTCAAGGAAGGAAGGTTTCGTTTCTGGTCAGGATTTGAGAGCAGTACCCATCATGGAGGGCAGGCAGCGCAGTAAGAGCATTGAGGCAGCTGGTCCCATTGTATTCCTAGTCAGGAAATGGGGGTGGGGCTGGGCTGGATAAGTGCTGATGCCTAGCTCTGCTTCTCTTTCTTATTCACCCCTAGACCCCATCTCAGGGACTAGCACAGTCCCATTTAAGGTTGGCCTTTGTTACCTCCATTAACCAAATCGAGAAACTGTTACAGACATACCCAGAGGTTTCCTCTGTGACTCTAAATCCTGTCAGGTTGGCAACCAAACTTAGCCATCACAGTCTCTATAATTAAAAGATAATAAGTCACTCATAAGAGAGCCCAGATTTTCTTTAGGGGGCAGACTGAACACAGACTATGGGTGTCTCCTTTATTCCTCTGACATCCATCCCAGCACCATATTACTCCACCTATGCATGGTATGTCTGTGGCAGCCAGGCCATCTTAGAGGTCAGAGCTTGTCTGCAGAGGGGCCCTCTCCTGCCAGGCTGAATATTTCACGAACCTGGGAGCTCCTATGCCCTCTGATGCTGTTTGTTGCCCCAGGATTCCTTGATTAGTTACCAGCCAGGGCACAGCAGGCTTCTGATTAAGGGAGTGACTCAAACCAGGTGCCTCCTACCTTCACTTAGTCATTCAAATGGAAAGTACTATTACTTCCACAGACCAGAAATACTATAAAAAACATTTCTGGTAGGAATATCTTGCCTCCTGAATGGCTATGGCAACTAGTGTATCTAAGAGGTATGTGTATGTGTAAGTGACAACATGGATCTTATAATTTTTCTGAACCCACTTTGCATTACTTAGGGAAAGCCTTAAATGTGCAATGAGGATTCTGGGGCTAATGACCATCAATGCCCAGAACATTATAATAATCTAATGAAATAGAATAGCGTTTTGGAATGTAGCAAATTGTGTAGAAATTGCTGATAGCATAGACTCATGCCGAGAACCTTACATATAAGTGGGCTATTGCTTTGACTGAGGAATTATTTATTTAGACTTCTGTTTGTAAGTAAGACAATGTTTCCTTCAGGGAATCTCCAGAGTCAGTTGTTCATATGAGAATACCAATGTCCTTGGTCAGACCTGGTGAAAGAGGTCTCAGATACTGCTCTTACCAGTCTTGGGATCTGAAGGAGCTCCGTGGATCATGTGGGATGACAGTGTCCTCAAGCAGAAGAAGTCTGACCCTCAGGTCAGGAGATGTGGATGGACTTCCACTGCATCACTCGCTGTTAACAGTTCAGTTGTCCCTGTCAAGTCCTTACCAAATACTTAAATGACTTTTCTCCTTGATGCCATAAAACATCTGACGAAACACCTTAATGGGAAAGGGTTTGCTCTACTCACAGTTTGAAGGTACAGTCCATTAAGGCAGGAAATGGTGCTGAGAGGAGGAGGCCAACAGTCACACTGTGTTTGTATCCAGGAAACAGAGAGAGAGGAACGCTGGTGCTCAGCTCACTTTCTCCTTTTTATTCAGTCCAGGCGTCAAGCTAATGGCTTGGTGACACCCATATTTAGGTTGGGTCTTTCCACCTCAATCTAGTCTTGAGGATCCCTCAGAGACATCCCCAGAAGCTGATAATCTCCTATGTGATTTTAGGTCCTGTCCAGGTGATGCCATTAACCATCACACCAAGCCAATAGTGGCTTAGCTGCAGATTCCCACTTCAGCCTCACCGGGTGGTCTTTGCCCTTCGCTGCTTCATGGTAGCCTCTGGGCTGTGCTAACACACTCTTGAGATGTAGAAAGTTCTCTATGTCGGTTGTTTTCTCTAGTTGGCTTACCTGCCCCCAGATACAGGCTGGCATCTAATGGGGGCAGATATGACATGTTAAAGGTGTCCCAAATTCTCCAGATGATTATCTTAGCTGATCCTCATATGATCTATAAAAAGTGGAGAGCAACATTTTATGAATGAAGAAATTGAAGCACGTGGAGACAGCAGAGGAGGGAGGTGGGACTGGCAGGCAGTTGAGGCTTTGAACACTAAACACTCTAATGGCACCAAATGCCAGGACTTGGATCATGTGCTGACTTTGACCTAAAGGTTCCTTTTGGGAGAGCATTTTCTTAATGGTTCTTTTCAAGCAGGATCCCAATGACTCTGTTTCTCCTTGTTTAACATTTCCTCATATCACCTAGTAGCTCCTAGCCTCTGACCTCATGCATTTATTCTTTGGCAATCCCCTCACTGAGATCTGTGCTCTGAAAGAAGAACCTTGTTTTGACCCCTTGTGTCTCTGTATGCCCTGTGCCAAGATCAACACCTGACCAATGATGAAGAGTGAAGTATATGGGCTGGTAAGATGGCTCAGTGGTTAAGGGTGCTTGCCATCATGTCTGAGCATCTGAATGCAATCCCAGGGAAGAAACCCACACATTAGAGGGGAGAGAATCAACTCTCAAAGGTTATGTCGTCACTTCTACACACGTGTACATATAAGCACAGACATGATAAATAAGCATACTTCTCAAATTTTGTAAAAGAATGAAATACTTCCAAAGCATGCCATATGTCGAGGGACAGTTGTTCGTTATGTTTAAAATATTTTCTTCTTCAAGCATGCACAGAACACATGCTTTGTGTCTGACTCCATGTGAGTTCTTAGGGCTGTGGAGGGTATGACCTACTGTTCTGGGTTTAGGTGATCAAGGGGCATGTTCATGCTGACTGAAAAGAGCTAAGGGGGATAACCAGGTGGGAACTGGAAGAATACATTACCAACATGATCGCAGTGTAGCGAGACTCAGAGCGGAGCCATCAAGGGTGAAGAGGAGAATTTACAAGCTGACCCTGAGCAGAAAGGCAGAGAGAAAGGACTGGTGAGATCCCCGGGGTCTCGATAACTTCTCTAGATTCTGCACTTCATTGGGCATGGAGATGTGGCCAGGAGACTTTGCGCTTGGTGGGGATTTGATGCATGTCTGCTTCAGTTAGTCTTCACCATTACATGGATGGAATAACTGAGGCCCAGAATCTCCCCTTTAAAACATGTCTGGAGCTGGCTTGATTTTCTCCACCACATTGCCCTCAGGTTTCCTATGCCTGCACCCCAACTTGAGCTCCTTTCTTCTAACATTTGTCATCAGGAGAGAGCCCGGTTGGTAGAGTGCTTGCCTAGCATGCACAGGGTCCTGGGTTCAAGGTAAGTGCTCACACAAACCTGGTACAGGGATCCATGCCTGTAATCTCATCACTGAGGAATGGGAGGCACGAGGATCAGAAGTTGAAAGTCATTCTGTTTCATAGCAAGTTCAAGTGCAGCTTGGGGTAAGCCCCCCACCCTGTATTTTAAAAAGAAAAAGGAAAGGGAGGGAGGGAGGGAGGGAGGGAGGGAAGGAGGGAGAGAGGGGGGTGGTGGAAACCAATTTCTCTGTCCTTCTCTTTCTCTCTGTTGGTACACAGATTTCAGAACTCGGCTTCCCAGAGCCTGGGCTGTTGCCCCACGAGTGTCTGGACTTACACAGGGTAGCATCATGTGTATTGCATTTTGACTCCTGGGTCTCTGTGAGAAAACTGCCTTTGTACCAGGAGCCTTTTATCTGGAAGGCCGGCTGGAGTGCTCAGCCGACTTGGGGGAATGGAGAGGCGCGCAGAGGCTGGCTGCCCACGCTCCGGGCATGCGTGAGCCCTGCCAGCAAAACACAGCTGGCACAGCTAATTTTAGCCTCGCCGCCGCCTTGCAGAGAGACCCTTTAAGGAAATATATCTTCTCTGAAACAGTTTGTATTATAATGTAGCAGCTGATAGACGTGTCATAATATTCTTACTGGTGGGGGAAAAACTCTGACAAGCAATTATGAGTTTTTGTTCAATTTTTTTGCAATATTTATAAAGCCCATAAAATCATCGGGGGGGGGGGAAGGGAGGGAGATTTTTATTCTCTAATAAGCGAATAAACCTAAGGGTCGCTTTGATTTTTGTTTTTTTAACAGATGGATAAGTCCACAAAACAATTATTTCTGATAGTCATGTCCACCTCCTTGTTGAGATGTGGCACAGCTTCCCCACAGAAGTACCCAACTAAGAACCCCAACTTTTTCTCCACTCTTGAGCACCCTCTGTGTCCTCTAGAAGGCAAAGTGTTGGTTTCAGCTTTAGGTCCTGAGTTCACCTGGCTTTTAGTGTGTTAAGTGGTTTTGAAAAAGCCTTGAACACACACACACCCTCCGCTTAACTAGAAAGGTTGGCATGCGTATGTGTCTCAGAATATATACGTACACACACACACACACACACACACACACACACACATTTTTTTTATATTCCTCCTCCCCCCCCCCACCCCCAGTCGTTTTGTTCAGCAATGCCATGTCTCACCTCTGGGAACTTGGCTATTGAAAAGGAGAAGGCAGCTTGGGTGCTTGGGAGCCCCAGTGGGTGCAAGGCAGGGAGGGCTGGGGCATGCCCCACCCAGACACTGCAAGGGCAGGCTAGGGTTCGGTTCCACCCGGGCTCAGCTGCAGACGCTGCTCACTCTGCTATTCCAGGATAGCCAGCAGAGGGGTGGCAGCAACCTCTTTCTTTCTTCCTTTCTTTCTTTCTTTCTTTCTTTCTTTCTTTCTTTCTTTCTTTCTTTCTTTCTTTCTTTCTTTCTTTCTTTCTTTCTTTCTTTCTT